AAAATTTAGAATATCATTAAAAACAAAGGACCTCTTCATCGATTGAACTGATAGCAGACTTTTTAGGTTCGAACATCAAAAGCCAATTGAAATCAAATATTTTACGACAGCTTGGAGGTGCCCTGCAATAGTTGTTCATTGAGCTAGAGGATTTATGAAAAAATAGTATAACAGTTACAATTGTCGAAAGATTTAATAAGCACAAATCGGATAACGATAAAATTGTCACTGAAATCAATGAACACTAAAATGAACCATAGAATCGAGCTTAGATATTTCGCGCATTTACAAGAACGGCTCATAAAGTGTCGAATTAACATACTATCATTAATTCTATACGGAATTTTACTCGAACGATGCAATATTCCGCTATAAAAGAACCGCCAAATTGAACTTTTCACGTCACTGCCCTTAACCGATCATCACAACAACTCATTTTAGGCCTATCATTTGAAACACAAATAAATTTCAATCTCCATATGTATACAACAAGCAATACCAAACTAGATGTTCAAAATACTATATCCATACCAAATGATTATAAGCAAAGATACAGAGTTTGATGACTTATCAATACGCAAATAATAAAGGTTGACTGATAAAATCAATGGGGAAAAGAGTTAAAGGACTTAATAATTAAAAAATGAACCAACCAACAAACATCAGCTTCATATTCAGCATTTTTATCAATGTGATTGTAATTTGGGATAAAAACATTGCCCAACAGCGCTGCATGTCCATATAATCTATTCCCAGATTCTCGAATTAATAATTTCACATTTAACTGAAACCTTATAATATTTGGTACATTCACACTTATGAATGCTGTTGAATTTATACAAATTCACATTTTGACCAACTCATTAACAGGAAATTAGTAGGCAATGATGAAACATCTGTTATTTTGAATTTTCGAAAACACAGAGCTCACTAATTTATTCAAAACATAAATGCGTCGTTGATTTTCAGATTATCAACAAGTGGAAAAAAGATCTTCAAAGTTATAAAAACCTCATAATTCTTCAAATCAAATTTATAAAAATCATCAAAGAAAATCTGAATGATAAATGAAGTGTGAAAAAATTATAACAAAACAACACTCATTCAGTACAGAAAGATTCTGAAGAAATTACAAATTCGAATGAATCGTAAACAAAAAACTGAACAGACTAATGAAGAGAACTAATCTTACCAACGCAATACCTCTTTTGTGGTCAACTTTCGTAAGGAGCGGAAAATCATGTTTGTTTGTGATTTTTGCTTCAATAGAATATCGATCTTCCTTCACTGAATTTAATATTATTAACCAGTCACCAACGCCGAATCTTCTTTCATTTTCCATCCTCAGAGTTATCTAAAATTAAATCTACACCACATCACGCAATTATCAATATGGCAATATTCACTCAAGACAGAAAACCGCATCAAAACATTAAAACCAGCTACCCTGAAGCACTGACTAAACTTTCAGTCTAACTTCAATCTTCAATTCATTCGCTATTAATTTCTAGGAATGACGATGAGAAACAAATTGAAGCCCTACATACCTTAGGTGGAATATGATCACCTTGTGGTGTAATTAATGCCACGATCAATTCATCCTGCTTCACGTCAACAACAATTCCTTTTATTTTGATGAAGTGCAATGATGAAACGTCCATTATTTCGAATTCTGAAATAAAATACATCACTTGGCATAACATTGTTGCAACTGCTCATATTATGGCGGTAGGGTGGGATTAGGACAGTTTCCATTGAGGTTGACAACCGATAGAACTTGTTCGTTGACTACGACTGAACACCTTGTCCCACCTCCAGCAGCCACTCACCAAACAGCTTCTTTCGCTTTCGGCTACTGATCACCAACCTAACTCAGACATTAATTCCATTTACTATAGATAAAACATGTTCTGATATTCTTGTCGCCGCTCGAAACTGCTCCAGAATGTCTCGAGAGTGCAACACGCCCCATCACCCATTATACTCATAAATTACTTGTACAAAATCCGAACCAATTTTAACTGCATGTTTCAATGCCAAACACGGCTATACCCAGAGATGGGCACGTTAACGAAAATGTTACGCGCTATTCGCTAATCCGGAATACTAGCGGTGTACTTATGTCAAATAGTTGATGAATGATTGAATACTCAACTTTTAACCGTTCGGAAGAGCACGGTACGTTTGAATTTAGTGCAGTGCTGCAGCGCAAATTTGTATTTACATACCTGAATGGTGTATGACTTATGCATTCACTCACAGACTTAAGGTTATCGGAACTGCGGAATTAGTCCACTATTCCGCTATCGTTCGCGAAAAGATAGCTCGCTAAACCACTATCCAACGACAATAACATCAGCTTTCGCTATAAAATTTCGCTATTCGAACACGATAGCACGTTATCGTGTTCAAATAGCAGAATCCGCTAATGGCGGAACAGCGGATCAGTACGCTAATGCCCATCCCTAGCTATACCCAACTGCTATGTGTTATGACCGCGCATAGCAAAATCATCAATTAACCCATATCCTAGGCGGCTTCAAAATGCGAGCACGGACCCACCAGACTCGGTCGAGTCAGGAATTGCCTGGTTGGGCTACGGTATGGGTTAGGCCAAAAGTCGTCAAGCCGGAGCCAGATTCACCAGACCTGGCGCTCCACAGTGAACTCATTCATATTCCTACTTTGACTTCATGACTCTTGGCCTCGCCCAGCAATCCTTTGCTCTGCCTGGCAATTCCTGCTTCAGTGCGGCCCAGCAACTCTTGGTCCGGCCCGATAGCCTGGTCCCAACAATTCCACATTTCCAACAAAACGCAATGAAGTAATTTAACCGTTTCAAAAATGTGGCCAATCTTATCCAAACTATCATTGTGAGATCAATTTATTTGACCGAACAATTCCGAGGGTCGGTATTCCGACCAACTGTCGGAGTTGTTCGGTCTGGATCCGAATGCCGGAACTGCGGCCGAAATTATCGGACCTTCCGACCGACCGTCGGCCGGATGCCACCACGAATCNACCCCGCCTCTCCCAACCTTCAGCACTTTCGTTGTCATACACAGACACCAGCCAGCGGTCATTTCCGTTAAATTATAAGGAAAATAAACATGAAAATTAAAAATATTAAACAAGTATCAATCATGAAGGATAGGTCATCGCCAACATTCAGCCGTTTTGACCAATTTACCAAGTAACTAAATTGGCGATCATCCAAAATTAGACGGCTGAAAATTATTTCCTATCAACAGTGAATGCACACCGATGTGCAAACTGTAGGAGTGTAACTGACTTCTGTGGCATTGGACATGTCTGTTCTCGGATTTATGCCCAACTTCAGCATAAGCCTTGAGGTTACGCTCGAGTTTCCAAGGAAATGAAGTTCATGTGCATGTTCCTCGTTAAAATTCAGCCCAGAATGTTTTTCGTGCTCCGAGTGTTTTGCAGTGGAACGTCCTCCCAGCAACATCGTCGACAAGTTTACAAGAAGATTATATTCCGATAATAATAACCAACCCTATACGCTGTTTATGAACGCTGCAAAACTTCTCGTCAGTTCCCAAACGTTACGCGAGCCGAACTCACTTAAAATCAGTTCTCAAGTGTTCGTTGCAAATCGCTATAAATTCGAATAATGAACATCGTTTATCGCTCACTATACCACCGCATATAGAAGATGATAGACGTAGAGAACGGCTGGCGCGTAGTTCAACACTGAAAACAATAGTGTCGGAAGGATGAAGACGTTGATGAAGAAGGACCTTAGCATTTGCACGAACTGTGTCACTGGCATATTCTTGTGCGTTATAGCTTTCTATAACTGTTGAGTCGAGCTGATGAAAAAATCTGGAATAAGTAATTCTTTGTTATTGTTCTATCATGTATAAATTGTATACAAAAGATCTTGGGCAGTATTTCTTCTTGGTTTTACCAACGTCTTTCAGGATTGAATTGTGTGAAAAAATGTGCAAGTGGCATAGTTCGTGCAGTGGTAAGTAAAACACCGTGCAAACTTTTCTTCGCACACATTCATCCATCAATCATACTTACTGCGTTCACTCACATTCTCTATGGGTGAATGCTGTGGGCATTTGTTTATTTCTGTCGAATAAGTTAGAGTGCGTTTTAATTTGTTGACGTGCGCACTCACGAGCTTGGCGAATGGCGTGGTGCTGTCAGGCAGCTTCCCATTTTCTGTAACAAGTAGCATCGTAGCGTTATCTTACCACTTTACATCAAATACAAGTTCGTATCCAAGGGAAAACGGTGACTTCTTTCTCATTTTAACGGTTTTCATCTCCTTAGACATTTGTGGATTTGCAATCAGTTTACGAAGTTATGCTCGCTATTCCGTCTCCCCAAAAACGAAATTCCTAGTCATGGGAGTGATCCGTTCCTATTTCATTGATCCTATTTCATTGCTTACAGGGTTTGTAAAATTGTGACGTAATGATGAAGAGAATGTGGTTTATGAATAATTGTTTGCTAAGGATATTATCAACGAATGCTGCATTATCTGTTCGATTGAAACAACATTATTCATTCGCACCTCATGCTTTGGTTGGTATTATTATTGTATTTCACGATGTATAAACACTGGTGTAAACAGGAAGGAAGATCAGATGAATGAATCTGAAGCTATCACTAACGAGTATTTCGTCGGATAATTTTATGCGCTCGAGGCTTAATTTAGGCTGAGACACCCTGAGAATGGTATGTGAAACAGTGAGCAACTGTTCTAGACTTGCGTTTTTGGTCATGCCTGTTCGTCTGCAATGGCATAAAAACGAAATTTTATCGCTGTTAGAGGATTAATTTTGGATTGGTTTGGACAGCACGACCAAAGCAAAAATTATGAGCCGTATTCACCATGAATATCCGAACTTATTACAGTCATTCCGCAGTAAACATCTCACATGAACATTTCAAAATCTTCATGATATTGAAAATAATAAGATAATAATGGTGGTGGTCGTAACAATGTTATATCTTACTTTCAGAAGAGGGAAATGAACTTGAATTTACCAGCTGATGTTTTACCATCTCGCGAGTTTGTGATGAGATATAAAAGGAACTATGAACGTGATAAACTGGCACGATTATTATCAGAAATGGAAATAATTTACGAATTATTCAGTGAAGTACCGCGGTATCTGAATGATGATGAATGGACAATTTATTTTAATTTACGGGATATTTATGAAAGAGAGCGCTTTTTATCTCGATTATACTTGCAACATTCGAATGCCAGCAAAATCCAAAAACAACAGTCCGAACGTGATCTCATTATTAAGAAGGTTTTTCATTATTAGCATTATTCTCATTAATGTACATTCACATTCGTCATTCCTTTACAACGCACGAATACTTAGAATACCTACCTGAAATAATAGTTATCATTATTAGTAAATAACATTTCTGGTAGGTATCGTCTTCTGTTATGATACATTATCTCTCATATTAGTTTGTCACTTTGATTTGTTCATTTTAATGTCATTGGATTCATGGTTTCGTTTTATGTAGATTTCAGAAGAGTGTAAGGTTCGATTCGAAAGAGGTGAAATGGTCTATGCACCAGGATATCATACTTATTTTGATATACGTGGCCAGTACTTCAGGAGTATGTTACTTGAAAAATTATTTGACGTTATATACCGAAATGTTTGTGAAAAACATTGTTGTATTAAAATAATGTATCGTTTAAGTTCTTCATGAATTAAAATCATCAAACCAAATTACTTGCACTATTAAGTTAATTGTTTTGTGCTCAGTATCCGTTACAATTAAGGATTGGTGGACAGTATGTACGGATGTCGTGTACTAGCAGCTATGCAATGTGGCGAGATGCCTCCTCAGTTGATCATCGATTGCCGTTTCTTAGATCAATTCTCGGATAACTATCAGATCAAATTCTTAAGGTCACCATTTGGCTTTGTAATTTACTTATCATTTAAATCTTCATTTCGGTTCAACATCGGCTCAAATTTATGAATCTCGATTTTGATCTATATTGCTGTTGAGTAATGTCCAAATGAATGTTGAGAGATGTGGTCGAGTCGATTACAAAACATTGTGTTGGCATAAATATGATCTAAAATGAGTCTAGTTTTCTGATATCATATTTTTTGTTAGTGCATAGTATTTTGAGTCGTTCCTCGTTGCTCAGTTATTTTGCAATATTTCATCCCTTCTGAATTACAATGTTATTTTCTCATTATGTAACCAACCGTGAATGATTATTATAAAATAATTCCAGGCAAATTCAAAAGTTGCATGATGCCAATTGGTTTCATCGTTGTCCGTTTCCTGTATCAATCGTCAACCTGTTGGCTGATGATCATCTAGCACGTTATATTAAGAAGTAAGTCACTTCATTAGTATTTCATCTCAGTTCAATTTATGTTGCAAAGTCCATTGGTTATTCATATTTGACACTAAAAGTTGAATAAGTAGATTCTCTTAATGCAGAAATGGCAAGCAAGATGTAGAGACGTTCAAGTGTGATGGTTCGGCTTAGAGCAGTAATTCTCACGGGGAAAATATCTCCTTGGGGAGGAAGTGAGGCTGTTAATAAGGGGAAAAATTGAGAAGGATGGCAAATCATTGCTGGTTAATTTTTAACTTGTTCACAATTCTTCCATAGTCGTTCAATGACGTTTATAAAGTTAATGTTTGATGATAAGGAATTGATTCTTCTGATGCGACTGAAAGATTTCTGCCAGCAAACTTCATGGTCATTCTTCAATATTTTTTCTTCTGATTTATTGCTAACAAGAGAAGGTCACGAACTAAACCCAGCGTTTCGAGGAGTTCTACAATTTGATTTATATCTCATCCCGAAACGCTGGGTTCAGTTCGTGACCTTCCCTTGCAAGAAATAATGGAGTAGAGAAGAGCGGAATGAGGAAAGTTGAGATCGCGGGGTTGTTAGATGGGGCAGTGACGGTCTGCCGAACGGTCATACGAGTGAAGGCTCGGGGCGTAAGAGCTTGAGAATCAATGATGATAAACTAATGATGATCATCATCATTAGTGATTATGATTATCGTACTGAATCCTTAATATATTGATGGTTATAAAAGTCATCTCTGACGGTAATTTTTTAAAATGATAATTTGCTTCCAGCAATTACGGATGTCACATGATGATCAGTCATTATTATGCTACAGCCTTTCTTTATTCTAATCCTGATTTTTGAAATTAAATTGCTGATTGTAATTTTAGATACTGGCTATTTTTGTATGGTCCTGAAAGGATTCATCAGAATGCAAATGAATATGTTAATGATAACGAGAAGTGTCATGAGGAAGACGGTGATGATTTCACTGAACTCTATCAAGAACTGGATTCGGAATGTTCAACTTTGGACGGGTCGAAAAAATTTTCAAAATGCGATTTTTCTCCACATCCGTTCATCCCAACCATATCATCTCGATCGATACGTGATAATCTTTCGAAGGATATTTCCGATGGTTGGTTTATAGTATATTAAAAAGAGATCGCTGATGAAACGAGAGCAGGTTTCATGTTTTTAATTTTTATGTTCATCGATCATAATTCATTTGGTGCTTACTAAGGCTAGCCTCAAGGTGTCGCTAACTCAATCAATCGAATTGTTTTTAGCTGAGCTTGAGCATACTTTCAGGCTAACGCCCGGGTTGGGGTCAGCCCTACGCCAAAAGTGGGGACTTTTTTTTTCGAATACTATCGGGACTTTTCGAAAAGTCATACATCCATTTTCCACATTTTTCAGAGAACCCTTTTATTGATCCTCTCCGTTATTACAGAATATCATCATTTTGTTTTACCCTTTGTTCCCTATTGTTTGTTCAAAGATGTTATTCCATAAGAAAATGTAATGTAATACAATGAATAATGAATAAAGCAATGAATTTCAGATGAGGTCGTATATATAAGCAACTCAGCACCGAGAATGTTAGATGGTCCAATCAGTAAGTACAAAGCTATCGTAATTTGTTCCAGTTATGATTTACAACCTTGGTCTTCTTCGTTATCGGCTGCACGATGTGACCGTTTGACGCCCTATAGGTTACCTATTGAACGATATGTAAAGTGAGTCTGTTATCGGTGCTTCATTTTACACTAGGAAGGATCCCTTTCATTGAGACGCATAGTGTTTTGGAAGGTGGCTGGTATACAGATGCAGTTGTTTTTCGACAAGGAAAACAGCAATGAAAATTATTATATATATTAATTTTTTTTGAAAACTTTTGATATTTCATCTTTATGGTATCATCAGTAAAACTATATGCTAAGTAAATTATCAATGAATATTATGATCAATACTAGTAATTTGAGTTGGTATGTTCCCTACTAAGAAAATAGTTACGCCTGTTGATGCAGTTATTATCACCGGTAGTAGTAGTAATATTATTGATATTATTGTTACTGTATAAGTAATATAATCAGTCTTTATGCAGGGCTGCAATTATGGCTTAATATTTGATCTATCAAATTAATGCTAGACTTTGATATTTGTGATGTGGTGATGAAGATTTTAATGCTTCATTTTGTTTACTCAATTATTTTTTGACTTAATAGTGACAAATTATATTATTCCAATGTTACAAAACCACAGATATTTAATTCAAAAAAAAATCACGCTAAAACAATGTAAACATGAGTAGCATTGCAGATGGGAACGGGGTTACAAAGTGATGTCAATAAACGTGACAGCTAATATAATCAGAAGTGTTTATCTGAATGACGGTGATTGGAAAAGTGCGATTATCGAAAATGTGCCTGAATATCATTTCAGTAGGAATAGTGTATCGTTCAATCGAAGTAATCCATCCAATTCATCAAGTGTTGATGTCGAACGTAAAAATAGGCTTAGAGTTGGTTTCGTTCATCTCATTATCAACCAACATTCATTCTTTTATTCTTCTTCTTTCTACTTGTTAACTGTTCATTCTTTAGCACATTTGATAGCAGCGAATGGGACTGTCATTGTCATTCTCATGATTATTTTCATTAGATTGTGTCCATTTAATGCTAAGAAAACGAATCATATGTGTCGTGAATTTAACGAACAAAATGATATTATTATTTGACTCAATTGAATTCTTCGATTTTAATATTTCATAAACGGTTAAATTCGTCATACATGTTAAATTCAATTCGGTGATGTCCGTCTAAACTCAGTAAATATAAGTAAAAATGAAAAATTAAAGGCACTACAAGAAGCGATTGAGGCAATGGATCGAAGGCGCATAGATGCATTTGAAAACGATGGACAAAGGAATGGGATTCTTTCCTCGAACGCGAAATTGAAAGCGAAACCTAAGATATATCATCACAAGTATAGCCGTGAAGAGAGAAGAGCTAGGAAAAATTCATAGATCAAAGTATAAATTCCATACGAACTTCATTAATAATTTTTCATTTGGATTAAATAGTATCTGCAGTGTAAGGGATTGAAATCATTGTCAGTATTGAAAATTGTTACTGTTATTGTCGTCATCATTAAAATGGATTTATATGTATGCGAGGAAAAATTTGTGAATGTTGTTACTTTTATGTGTGAATAAATTTTGGTTATAACTGAACCTCAAGTGAGCAATTCATTAACGATTCCATCATTCATATGGTGTTATCCAATGGTGCACTTCTGAATAGGAACTGCTTTTCACGCTGGTACAGGTAATTCGAGTATGGCCAAAAAAATTTCTTTGGATTTCTCAAAAGAAATATTCATTAGCCGGAGTCAAGATCTATACGATAGTTTTTTTTCGGATCCAGATTGCTCCAGAGCCGAAATGGAGCAGAGAAATTCTGGCACTGGAGCTGGAGCCGAAAGTTGAAAAATGTGGAGCCACAGCCGGATCGGGAATTTCAAAAATGCGAAGCTGGAGATGAAATTTTTAAAAACGCCTAGCAGAAACTGGGCCAATTTTTCTCAAATTGTACATCGTTGCTCACAATATCTCTCAGTATTTCGAAACTCCTTTTAGTTTCAAGTTTTTCTTTCCTGTCTACGATGAAAGCAATCGTGGTACGACTACAACCAATAGCTGCTGTCATGACAATTCTAAACTCACTGAAGCTGAAGATATTGACAGCTTGTGGATTTTCAGTGTAATGTGTGGTAACACGCGGAAAAACATTTATACGGCTGTCACGCCATTGGTGTTTTTAAATTCATCTTAATCTCAGCAAAGTTTTGAGCTTTCTTTCAGGCAAGAGCATCAAAATTGAGCCTTACCCTAGAATGTGACATCGAATTGTAGCCGGGTGGTTTGTGCGGGGTCCCGACGCACTTTGAGATTCTCACTCACTCATGGAATTCCTTCAAACCATGCCTGACAATGTTTTCCTCCATTTGGCCTGGCGTGACAGCATGAAAAACACGATAATGATGAACATGGTGATGACCGCATGAAACAATCACATAAACAACAACGCGAAATGATTACATAAACAACAACGTCAGTATATGTTGTCGAAGGATTATGACTATTTCTAGAGAAATACGTGATTTTCTGAAGTTACTTTGGATATTTGAACGACATCAGTACAAAATGCAGTTTATAACCTTACCGCAACATCCTAATTTTACTTATCATTAGAGTAAATAAAACGGCCCAAGAACATAAAAAAGCGAGACTAGAGAAGTCGCTGATGAACAGAACTAGTCATGCCCCCATGTAAACCCGTGAGCAGGGTTAGTTTGAAAATGGTAACCCTAATATTGCTAGCCCCTTGTATAAATTGATCAATGCAGATACAATGTACTGAATGTATTGAAATGGGCTGCTCATCTACGTGATTTGGTTTCAAAAGATTTTCAAAATTTCTTGGGGAAAACGAAATCGCACGACAACGTTTATACTTTTCCGAAATTAGAGAATCTGGGGAATCCGACAGTATGATGAAATGACCATGTTACAGATCGAACCTGAGAGTAACGTTAGTTTGAAAATGGTAATGCTGAATCATATGGTGCACATGATTTTGCAGATCCCCACTTTTGACAACATTCGTTAGGATTATTCAGTGGTTAACTCATGGAAGTATCCAGTTCAAGATCCTTCATTTACGTCATCAGAGATGATCCGTCCTAACAATTTATCTTCGTTCTACGCTCGATTCTTTTCCCTGTTTCTGCTGTGATAGTAAGTTTGATAGTTCCTCTCCTCCTGAGAGTAACGTTTGTTTGCGAATGGTGGTGCTAATATAAATAGTTTTAGTCTAGTTTCAGATTCGTTAGTTTCAGCATTGTTAAAATGCTGGTGCTCTAAAAAAACAATCTGTGGAAATATCTCAAAATTTCCTGTCTTGACGTAGCATAATGGAGCATGCTCCAGTGCCGTCTGCTAAGGCATTGTAACGGACGTTCATCGCGAAAGTTGGAATATCTAATCCTTTTAACCTCTGGAATTTTGAGAGGTAATGTTCTGTGAGTTGGTATTTCAGAAGCAATTGATTATCATATTTCGCAGATTCATTGAAATCACATCCATTTGTCAATAAATGGTGTTCTGACAGGGTTTTTATTCTTTTCCTCGATGTTACAATCGCTCTCATAGCTTTTATCACTAAAAGTGTTCTCTTTTCCCAATCTCTCATTCATTTCACTCAACAATTGAAGTCAAAATTTCATTCTATCAAATGCACTCTATAATTAACCATTTGACTGTCGAACGTTGTTCAGCAATTATGTTCGATTGCTGTGTTGCTGATTTCGGCTGTCAGCACTCGTCAATGTATCCATAAACAATTTATGCTACATATATGCTACAGAATAAGAAGTTGATATAAACTGTGAAGTGAAATGAGACGAAGTGAATGAGAAAATTCATCAGGAGAACGATATTCGCATGTAATAACTATGAGAGTGAATAGAACACGTCTGAAAAGAATAAGAATTCATCTAAATCATATTGAAGTGAGCGTTTCATAGACAATAGCATTTCATGCTGTCATAATCGATTGCACTATTGAGCAATAAAACGGTCTAAGAGAAGCCTAGCCATGCTGAATACCTAAAAAAAGTAGTTGAGATGATTTAAGGAGTTGATACCTCCTAGAACCGATTCATGAAATGTGAGTAGGAGAAGCAAATTAAGCTGTGAGCAATAAAATAGCACACACTTGTATTTAAAATTAGTAGCCTCTGTACTTGGTGAATGTGGTGCTCAATTCAGAAGATCCGTAGGAACTTCGACTATTTCACCCAACGGATTTTACTGATATCATGTTTTTTTCGTGTTGTTGTATTTTGCTGGTGTGTGATGTAAGTATATTTCGTTTTGCTGGAATTTGTGAATGGTAAATCTGTAATGCAATTTATCGGATTATGCAGACTGCTATTTCTTGACTCTCGACTACAAGATGATATACATCTCTCTCACTAATTATTTTTCTCCCAATCAGAACAGAGAGAATTTCAATTACTTCATTACACACCAAATGCGACTATTGAAAATCACCACTGTTCATTCCAAACAACATAACTCTCGTAATTTGACATTTCCGGTTCAAGTTCATTACGTTTTTCTAGGACACTTACTCTTGGCTACCAGAGGATATATGTGTTGGTGTTGAATTTTCCCGCTTGAGCTTTTGTCATTCAAGCCGAATAGAAAACCTCGAGTATATCTTCAAGCTGTCCACTCTGTACAACATGTTTTATTCTCCAAGATCTTTGCTAAAATGCAAATTGCCCGGGGTTATCGAATAAAACTGTGAGTTCCATCACTTGGCGAATTGTCACTTCGTTCGTACTTGGCGAACTGTCAGGTTACCGGCAAGGAACTAGTTACCCAGGGTCTACGACATATGACCAACCGACAACTGTCAGCACGACGTTTGTGCAACAAGTAGTTGTTGACACAAACTTCGTTTAGATTCGCTTTTTGAGCAACGCGAACGCATGCTCACCATTTTGTGTGTGTGGTATGAAACTCGTATTACTCATGCTTAGCCTCAGCCTAAGCATCAGTAATACATATTAGGCTTAGGCTTAGCCTCAACCTGAGCCTAATCGTAGCCTCAGCCTCAGTCTAAGCGTTACCTCAGCCTCGGTATAAGCGTAACCTCAGCCTTAACCTAAGCGTAGCCTCAGGCTCAGTCTAAGCGTAGCCTCAGCCTGTCTGAGCGTGAGGCTGAGGCTACGCTTAAGTTAAGGCTAAGCGTCGGCCATAGTGCTGTTGTACTGCTGCACGCTCGCTGTTTTGCCCCTCAAACGACACCAGTACCATAAACTAATGATAAACATTCTCGAAATATATCACATTGTCCGTGTTTTATATCACACACAAAATGGTGATCGTGTGCTCAAAAGCGAACCTAAACGAAGTTTGTGTGACCGACTACGTGTTGGACAAACGTCGTGCTGACAATTGTCGCTTGGTCATTTGTCGTGCTGTCAGTTACCCTAGACCCTA